ATAAAATTTCAACTTATTTCTTTCAATTTTGGCTTGGTTCTGCTCTGTTTCTGGACAGGAATTAAGCTTTTCTGTTTGCTGTTACTTCATAACATGTCTGCTATGTTTCTGCGTTTGGCTTCAGCTATTTTTAGGAAACTAATTAGACATTGTTGTTTTTTGCCATTCATACCATTTCAACAGCTTTTGCTTTAAATTTCTGCCATTTTCTCCTTATAGCCTACAGTTTACAGCATTCACACTGCATTTTCGCAGGAAATGCAACTTTTTCTAGTTGAAATAGTTATACTATAAAATAAGACAGAAATTTGATTAAAGTTTTTAAAAGATTACAAGAAATATTTGAAAAAATAAAAATATGTAATTATTGTGAATAAACTAGGAATGCAACAATCAGAATTTTGCATTTATTTACCTTTCATAGCTAAAAATAGACGATGTAAGAAGCCCAAACTGTTTTAGTCTTCTAGCTTAGACCAGTTAATTAAAAGAAAGGAAAAAAAAGGATTTTTCCAATTTTAAAGCAAAGACTAGACCATAACAGATTCCAGTTTTTAAGCATCATTTGAACCATTAAAGACTGTAGAAAACACTGGTTCGTTTTCTACAGCTCATTACTCCTCTGGTCTTCCTCCATTTTCATTCATTATTGACTTAGTGAATGATTGTCTAATCACCAGCAATCTCCCCACAGTCTGCTTGCAGTATGGGATCTATACTAATCAGAAATGGATCATAGAGGGGTGGAATGCAGCCCTCTTGACTATTCCTGCATTACTTTACTTTTAGCATGTATTCACTTTAGGTTTTAACGAGCTCCTGGAAACTTTAACCTCCCACTGTTGTTGATTTGAGACTTCCAGAGGTACCGCTCTGAGATTTGAGTTCAGGCCAATTGACTTTAAAATGATAATTGAGATGCATCATAAGTCGAATTTTAATAATGCCCCCTCAGAAATAATAAACATTTCCTAAAGAAGCTGTGAACTCTGCCACAATCCACAGCTTTTACCTCCACACACACATAACTGCTGAGGTGGAGTGTTAAAAAAAAAAAAACTCTTGCAGGCAACTGAGTGTGAGAAGATTAGAGAAAGCTGCAGATATTTTCCAGTAAGTCCTTCAGGGATGGAGAAATTAGGAGCTGTTGAGTAACAAAAGTTACATATTATGTGCAAAGGACGACTTGGTTTGCCAAACATCTAACCGAAGGCATTTCTAAAAAAAAAACTGTTTGGGAATCATTAGGAAAACTGTGATTTAACAGCTGATAATTAGCACCAAATTAGAACGCATGTGAAACCACTAAATAAAGTAAAGAAAGCTAAATGCATAATTGGAGAATGTCCTCCAACATTTATGGCTCCTTAGAACCTCACTAAGGATTTTTTTGAAGGATTTTTCAAGATTTTAAATTTTATTAAACAGGTTTATTGATTATAAGAAGAAGTGGAATAAATTCATCATCCTCTTATTTCTATGAAACAGCAGTAAGTGAGTACAGGATGCTTCGAAGGACAATTAACTGGGGTGGTCTTTCTCCTTTGAGCCCTATTAGAGTAAAAGCACTTGAAACCACATGAAGCTGGTTAGGGCAGATCCAAATAAAACACTGTGGACCTGGATGGGGAAACAATCAGCTTTTGGTAGCTGCAAGGGGGGAGGGAGACTGCTGTCATGGAGCAGATGAAGTTCTGTGTGGGTTAACACACTTCTAGGGAAGGTTTTTGCACGTTTGTGTGTAGGAGTGTAAAAAATGTGTGTGAAAGTGTGGGGAAGAAATCTGATTGTTTATTGACATAATTTTTCCAAATCAGAGCAGGGATCCCTGATTTTTCTCAGATATTTCTGTCTTTTCCAACAGAATTCTGTTTTCGGGTGAAACCCAACAAGAAAGGACAAGGTGAGAAATGGTTATAACAGGATACAAACAGTTCACATAAGACTTCAAGTCACTTTTAAAAATAGGCTTCTATGTTAGAGTACCGAGGAAAAGCAAGACTTTTTTTTTTCCTTACAAGCTGCGTCCATAAAGTTTATATAGAACTAAATCTGACCTTTCCAATGAAGTCAGAACTCTGACAAAGCTGCTAATAAATACTATTATGAGCAATTTTAATTAGGTAAATACTCTCCGGATGCATTTTTAATGTTTTATAAAATGTAGATTCAAAACGGTGAGATGGGTTAAAGCTCCATGGCTTGCTTTCCACTCACAGGTAGTCTCTCCCCCCTCTTGTGGAACCATTTCTCCAATCAGGTCAACTTTTGTTACTTTGTGGGAGGAATCAACCAGAGAAAAAAAATCTGATGTGTTTGGCTACTTTTCAGGAAATCCCACCTCTCAAAACAGTACTGTTTTCTTCCTGTTTGGAGCAGCTGATCTCTATTTATCACTGGATTGCTGCTAGACCGAAAAAAACTGAAGTCATCTGCCGCCATCTTGGTACTCCCCACTTTCACGGAATCGCGCCATAAAAATAATCAATACATGTATAATACATGCACATCATCAGTTAAGCACTTTTGGCACATCATCAGGTAGTGTTTGTGTGCATGTGTAATATTCTTGATATCTGACTACAGTATTATTGTGCTCCATTAATGCACTAATCTTGTTGTGATGGATTTGTATAATATGTTATATTACATAATTTATAGACTTCATGGAATTCATTCTGAATATGCAATGTGATGTTTCTATTTCTTTACCAAACATGACAGTAATCTACAGATTCTATGAAAGGGCAAGTGTGTCAATATCATTAATTTAAGTCTTAAGTCCCCCTGAAAATGAGAAAATCATTGTTGTTTGATGCTGTAGCGCACATTTTGTTTACATTCTGACCTGTCTAACTAGGGAGTATTTCCGTAAAAATTCGAAAAAATATCAACTGGACTTGGTTTCCAAGATTTGAAGACGTTTCGCCACCTCTCCAGAAAGCTTTCTCAATATATTAAATAAATAGACATCAATGGTTGGAGCTAGTAACCTTAGCAAAGTATGTACTAACTTAGAAACTGCCTAGCCTACCACTAGTTGATTTTCTAGCCTCTCCAGTGGTAGTTTTAATCCTCATGGTTAATGTTTGCCTAGCCTCGTGAGACCATCCTTATCTCGCGAGCTTTCAAGGTTTCACTCGGAGATCAGTCTGGAGACTCACCGATAAAGAAAATTTGGAGCCGTTCACCAAACAAACGTCCAATCAGCGTTGGCTTTGAGGCGGGTTGAGGTGTGACGCAACGAGAAGCGCGACAGTTCAGTCTAAAGAACATGGCGGCTTCAGCCAATGAAACTAGGGTTAGCGTGGCTATCGAGCAAGTTTTATCGGAATTACAGAGTATTTCTTCACTGAAAGAAGAGCAAAACACTGCTCTGGAGGCTTTTCTCAGAGGAAAAGATGTTTTTGCTCTTCTCCCGACTGGTTTCGGCAAGAGTAGCCTGGCTTGTGGTTGTGTTTTCGTCGTTGCTCTGTTAGTACGTCATATGCTTCGTTGATCTGATTGGTTTATTTGGCCCGTCTATTATAAACAGAGGCCAATCAGCTAACCAGTATTTTCACCCCTTCCCAAAATTACTTCAACGGAAGGTTTCCAGATGGATATGCGGAGCAAATCCATCTGGCGGAGTCAGGTTAATGTTTGCCACCATCAGTCATTTTTATTAACCTAAAAAACTGATTCTCACCTCAACAAAGAACAACATCTATCAGCAGAGCATGATAAGTCATTTCCTTTCAGTGGGCTGCACTTCCTACAAAGCTGGTAGCAGCAGTGGAATAATGTTCCTGAGCAAGAAGCAACAAAAATGATGACAAAACTAACAGAGCAATGAAGGACTGCTGCAAGGAACTTACTAACAACCATGTATGTGGGGCAGAAAAAAGTCAAACAACAAGGGAAAACAGCATCATCTCCTTTCTTTTAAGATGTTTTTTAAGGCCATGAGGGAGAAATAGTCACAGTTTCAATTATTACGTTCAAACAATAGACCATTTGAAGAGGTAGTTAAAGATAGGGTTAAATTAACCAGAACAAAAACTGAAAGCACAAAACAGAATGGTCCATGGTGGGATCAAAAATTATCATATCATAATATTTAGCAAGACTAATTCAAAAAACAATCACAGCAAATTAAAATATCAGACCTGCTCATTATTACACAGTGTCCAGGCCCATCCAACTCCTGAAGGGATGGTATACAGTACTTGGTTCACAAAAATAATACAAGATTTTACCAATATGTATGAGAAAAATCAAGAACGAGAATTTTCCAGTTAAGATTTCATAATTCTGTCATTGAGATCTAGTGTCAGAGAAAATAATTTAAAGGTATAGTGGAGGATGTTCTTTTTCTGGGTGGATCATCAAAATAAATGGTCCTCCTAATTGTCAATCATTCTGGTGATATGTTTAAGTAAGGCGCCGTCCTACGTGCTCGTCCCCATTTTCACTTACCGGTGGTGAGTCTAACATAGTGGAAAAAAATGTAAGTCTTCCCTTTTAAAGTAAGCTTGTATGATTGAATAGCAACTTCTAAACAGAGCGTGCATGAGGAGAAATAGGCTCGTGCACGCTCTCACACATGTCTAATAGGCGTTCCCTCTCGGGAGCGGGAACAGGGTTGTGCACATGCATTTTGTTAAAAGAGGAGAAGGCGGGCCTTTTCAAAAATTTGCAAAAATCCTCCACTATACCTTTAACACTCAGTGAAATCATTGGATCATAAAAGCCAACTGTGCCAAAATTACCTTTAAGAAAATATCCCAATACAGGAACATAGTCTATAGCAATATTTAGCAGTTTTCCAGATTTAGTTAAACAGGATGTGTGAAAAGAAAAAAGAAAAAACATGACGTGCTTCATTGGTGGATAAAAAGCCAAGATAAACAAGGGAACATAAAACTAAACCAGCAGAAAGAAAACAGAATCCCACAAGAGTAAACCTAGAAGTATCCTAATAGACCATCAAATAGCTGAAGAGTAGAAATATGACCTACCTTGGTCTTCTGAAGATGAGGCCATACTGCTGGCAGGCCAGACCCACAGTGGGAGTGTAGATGATGGGCATAAACCTCTCTACGTCTGAATTTATAAGACGATAGAAGAGCTTTTCACTGCGGTCCATGAGCCCAATCAGGAACACATATCTGCAAAAAGTCAGAAGTAATTTATTAGTCTATTAGTGATACGAAAGAACTGTTTGTTTTGTGTTTTTTTTTTAACTCTCAGACATACATATGGATGCAATCAATAAAATACAGAAAAACACAGACTTCAATAATTGTTCTTCAGAAATCAGAATGTAAAGGCATTTTTGCTGTGGTTCCAAATGACTAAAAAAACAAGATGAAAGTGGACTTGCACAGCGCTGACACAAGCTCTTTGTTCTAAAATATGAGCGGGAAATGAAGGCATGTGTAGGACCCAAATTAGGCACCGTAAACCAAAAAAAAAAAAAGCTTGATCCCTAATCAGAGATGTTTCCATAAAGCCGTGAGCACAAGGTGCCTGTTGTTGAGAGGAGAAAAACCCTGCAGGCTTTGTCTGTTTTACATTAGGCTACATCTACTGCACAATACTGCTTTATGGAAATCTATTTCTGTTATAATCATCCTAGTCAAATCATCTTATATATTTATCACAATCCTGTTAATATTTGCTATATGTCAGTAAACTAAACAAATTTATGTTCTTACAGAGAAGAAAGAAACCCAAACTGTGGTTTAAGAAACAATAGCATGAAAAATATAAAGTCCTGTGTTAGTGAAAGTGAAAGTTAGTGAATTCAAATTTGGGACGAAATGCATCTAAAGGAAAAGTGGAGTTACGTACAAAGAATGAGCGGCCTTCACTTGCAGGTCATATGACGTGCTTTATGATAGCCAGATAAAGGCAACAGCGAAGAAAAGTTTTCATTCAGTTAAGGCAGTTGGCCAAAATAAATCCCATTCTCTCCAGAGATATTTTAGAGAGAGTAATCCATGCCTGTATCACTACCCAACTAGATTACTGTAACGCACTTTATTAACTCCAGAGAGTGCAAAACGTTGCAGCAGGTCTTTTATCTGGCCTCCATAAATATGAGCCCATTACCCCAATTTTAGCCTCATTACACGGGCTCCCTGTACATTTTAGGATTCATTTTTAAGTTCTTTTATTTGGGCGTGCTTCAGTGGTGCAGTGGTTAGCGCACATGACCCATACATGGAGGCCTTAGTCGTCGACGTGGCTGACCCGGGTTCCAATCCGGCCTGTGTACCTCGTGTCTCTCCCCCTCTATTATACCCCCTTTCCTGTCAGCCTACCGTCCAAATAAACAAGCCAATAGTGCCATAAAACCCCCTCCCCCTAAAGAAAGGTCTTCTTTTAAAGTCTCTCGATGGTCATGCTCCATGTTATCTTTCTGAGTTGCTTCACCCTCATGCACCCTCCCGTTCAATCAGGTCGGCCGATCAGCTGATTCTTGAGGTGCCAAAAACTAAACGGAAGCTTAGGGGATATCGTGCTTTCCATGTGGCAGCTGCAAAAATGTGGAACGACCTTCTATTGCAAATTAAATAGTCTACTTTGTCTGATTTTAAACCGCTCTTAAAAGCTCATCTCTTTGCAATGGCTTTCTAAAATGTGTGAGATGTTGATTTTAGTCTGTGGTACATTATTTCAAGTACTTTTATATTTATTTTATTATAGATTTCATAGTTCTGATTTTAATTTTGTCTTTTATGCTTGTATGTAATCTGTGTAATTGTGTTACATTGTTTCACTTTACAACACTTTGGTCCTTTGAGAAATGTTAAAGTGCTTTATAAATGAAGTTGGATTGGATTAGATGTTGAAACTGTTATCATCTTTATTACACACACTACAAGGTACTAGGTACAAAAAAACAAAGAAGAAAACAGGAGGTCAGAAACAAACCTCAATGGAAAAACGATCTAGAAATAAGTAAAAATTTCTCAAATTAAGTGCATTTACCCTTAATCTGAGTGTGAAAATGAGATGGTTTGCCAATGGAATTAGTATTTTTACTCTTAAAATAAGATATTTAGAAAAAATGGACTTGAAATAAGACAATGCAATTTTGTTTTCTTATTTTAAATCTAAATTGTCTTGTTCCATTGGCAAAATGTCTCTTTTACCTCCTCAATCCAAGAACAAATGCACCTATTTTAAGAAAAAATGACTTCTCTAGATTTAGATGTTTTCCAGTGTTTTGATGAAGCAAACGTGTTTCTTTAAACAGAACTGAAGTGAGTCACTAGGCAGTAGATACAGTATGAAAATTCTACACAGATACAGTATGTAGGTACACTGTATATACGCGACCATAAGAATAAAAACTATAACTAAAATTAATTTATTTTAAAATAATCTTTGAAGAAAAAAACTTAAAATGAAATAAAAAGTCTTAAGAAGTATTTATGGGTGATGGTGGCTTCGGCTGAAGGAGTTTGCCCTGCTATTGGAGGGTTGTCGGTTGAAGCCCCGGCTCCGGCATTCTGTGTTGTGTCCTTGAGGAAGACACTTCACCAACATTGCCTACTGATGGTGGTCAGAGGGACTGGTGGCACCAATGCACGGCAGTGAGCCCCAGGGCAGCTGTAGCTACAATGTAGTTTGCCACCATCAGTGTGTGAATGAATGGATAAATGAATGCGCTTTGGTCAAGTCTCCTGTTTGAAAAGGTACTATATAACCTAGTATTTACCATTTTACCAAAACTTGAAAAATAACATAAAAAACTAAATCTGAGAAAACAGCAAAGCTACTCTCAAAACCTATTTTCCTAGTTTCATTTTAGGATTGCAGTTTTAGTTTTTTTGCATTTCAATTTATGAAATGTGTGTTTTTGCAAAAACAGTGGAACAAAATACCCCGCAATATTTTCTCAGAAACGGATGATTATTCACACAGGATGTGAAGGTGGGGGGTAATGTGCCACAGATGATGTTTTGTGAAACACACTGAAAATGCAACCTCAGCATGTTTCCTGTTAGATCAAGTACTGAGCAGAAAACTCAGGCTATAAAGAAATTAGAAAAATCAAACCATTATTATATCTTTGGAAAATAAAGCATATTATTTATTTTATTAGAACCTTGTATAAATAGTGATCAACTTCCCCATACATCAGCTTTAATGTTTGATAGACTGAAGCGCTTTTAAGACCATCATATAGTTTACTTTGGTCTTAGATTGAGCCCCCAATACCCACTAAGGTGGATTTTTACTACATGAGCAATCCATCCATCCATTCATCCATTTTTCGTCGTGCTTATCCCTGCTGGGGTTGCAAGGGGTGCTGGTGCCTATCTCCAGCTGTCCACGGGCAAGAGGCGGGGTCCACCCTGGACAGGTCGCCAGGGAAACACAGAGTCAAACAGGATAAACAACCATTGACACACACACCTAAGGAGGATTTAGAGAAGCCAAATTCGCCAAACGTGAATTTGGACAATTTGGCAGTCATGTTTTTGGACTGTGGGAGGAAGCCGGAGTACCCGGAGAGAACCCACACATGCTCAGGGAGAACACGCAAACTCCATGCAGAAAGACCCCGGGCCGGGAATCAAACCCGGAATCTTCTTGCTGCAAGGCAGCAGTGCTAACAACTTCACATGAACAATCCAAGAGAGGTAATTACCACAGGAGCTATATAAGCTGCTGCACTTTTTAAAAACAAAGCCCCACTTTAAAAAGTCATCTGAACTATCCCTTTAAATTAGAAATGGATGGTTTTCAACAAGTAGTGCCAACTGTAAGGGCTTTTTATAAACTGGTCTTAACCCACATGCTTTTAAAATCTCGAAGTTGATGAGTTTCCTTAACAAAAAGAAGAAAAAAAAAAAGTGTTCCAACTTCCAGGATAATTGGAACGCTGCCAAAATCCCCACATCAAGTTCTAACAAAGCGCTGCGGAGGGCTGTTGCTCAACTGTGCACTGGGGAATGTTAAATAAATGGTTGGGAATTATAAAACGTCAGATACTAATCGTACCTTGGAAGCAGGAATATACACACTGCTGTTATAAAGCAGCACAATGAGGACATGTAGGTGGATTTAGGCTTATCAGCAGCTTCAGATGTTTTTTTCAGGTTTTGTGGAAAATCTTCATTTAGAGTGAACTGGTCTCTATCACAGTTTGGAACCCACCTCTCCTGGTCACTCCATTACCCAGATCTCCTAAATATGCTAAAAAAAACTGAGAACTCTAATAAAAAACTAAATAAACTCCTTTAGTACAGCCGTCTGTGCTAACAGAGGGTTGAGAGTTTGAAAGACATCTGTAAACAAAGCAGAAACCAGAGCGCTCCAAAACCCCCTGAGACGGGGACACTGATAAGTCATGGGAAACCCTGTTTTAAGACCCCGATTGCATGTATTTGCTATGAATTAAAACGAGAACCAATCGTTCTTTTTTTTTAGACTTAGAATAAATCCCCATCTCCCTGAGAAAATTTAGCATAATGCAGTTTGGGACGTGCAGCTTATACCTCTGCTGATGAGGGGCTGGGTCCTGATGACTTCAGCTGCACAAGAGCCCAAACTGAAAGGTTAAGCTTTCAGAAATGTCTATTGTGTAACGCTTACAGCTACGAGAGGTTGTAAAGCATGCAAGCATTTATTTAATCACAGAGGACTTTAAAAAAACAGAAAGGGAGGAGTAAATGGAGGAGCAGTAGAAATCGAGCTGGTGGAAGAGAAGACGGATCATCTCAGAGGACTGATAGCTAATCTGCCGTCTGTGTTTTGAAAGGCTCCACATGAAGGATCTGGTTGCATAAACAGAGGATCAGATGAGATTTAGCTCTGAAGCCTAGTTTATGCTCAGGAACCAGCTCGTCTACGTGTGTGTAGCAGTTAACGCAGACATGCCCCCCTTCCGCAGGCACTCTGGTGCACCTCTCCAAAATTGTTGGTGATAGCAGACAGCGATAACATTGCAGGGAGGAGAGAAAGGAGGCCTCTGATTGGTCAATTCCACATCCGACTCATGAAGATGGACCAGCTAGAAGTAGAAGCGAGTCTGCAAAGAAGTGAGGAAGTACCCACATCGGTACGACTCTCGTTCTCCACACCACAAGGACAGCACATATGTAAGCTATTCATGGAGGGAGATCGTGCCAATATTTCTCCTATTTCTAGATTGATCAGCTGCATCTGAGTCAAAGTGAACGTTGGTCGAGTTGCAGTTGTTGAATGACCTCCGTAACCGGAAGAGAAACATGCCACCCACCAACAATCCTAGCTAGTTCATGAAGCAGACATGGAGCAGACCAGGGTTCGAAATTGAGCATAAATCAAAAATATCTGCTTCATATCTGCGACAAGCTAACTGTTAGACATTGGTGCGGGAGTATAACCAGCCCCTTACTCAGGATAACATAGTGAGTCTCTGGTAGGTTTGTCTGCCTGAGTCGCTCACCTGTCCAGGTCGTCTCTTTTCATGTCGTAGTTTTTGAGGACTCTGAGCAGCTGGAGGTCCTGGCTGATGAAGCAGGGGGGCACCAGGCCGTGGATTCCCAGCTGGAGACGCTCCTCCAGGGAGAAAGCATTTCCCTATAGGGACAAATCAACATCATTCTGTGTTACTGACAACATCGTAACATGCAGGGATGAGTGGAGGTCATAGACAGATGCCCCTCAGTGAAAGGCAAAAATATTCATACCCATTGCACTTCCTTTTCTCTCTGTCAACGCATAAACTAAAGCCTCAGTTGGTTACATTGGGGTTTTATCTAAAAGGGCGTCACATTAAAGGAAAACAATTTTTGCATTTTATTTCTTAACACACATCTGCAAACGTAGAATGCATCCACCCCATTCGTAGAAACAACCTTTGCTGCAGCTGCTAGACCTTTAGCTTGGTCTGTGGATTAAGCTCAAGCTCATTCAGATTGGAAGTCGAGCACCATCACATATCAATTCTTGCCATAGATTTATCCAGAAGTTACCTTCATTTAGACCAGGGGTAACCAATTAAAAATCAGCGGGATCCGAATAAAGAAAA